TCTCTCTCTCTCTCTCTCTCTCTCTCTCCCTCTCTCTCTCTCTCTCTCTCTCTCTCTCTCTCTCTTTCTCTCTCTCTCTCTCTCTCTCTCTCTCTCTCTCTCTCTCTCTCTCTCTCTCTCTCTCTCTCTCTCTCTCTCTCTCTCTCTCTCTCTCTCTCTCTCTCTCTCTCTCTCTCTCTCTCTCTCCCCTCCTCCTCCTCACTTCCTTCTCCTCCCGCTACGCTCCCTGTCTTGGTGTACCCCTTCTGGGGGTGTTGCTGCACAAGCTCCTGCTGCAGGCAGTTATGGGGATGTGTTAGACAGCATTTTTTATATACAATTGTAACGTCCTGTAGCTGTAGTTTGAGTGTAGTTATAAACCTGTTGGTGGTGCACCTTTCTATTTGTTCTTTCCTATTTGTTATCCGATTCCTAAACCCTCCTTTCTCCAATTCTCTCGCCATCCTCCTAGCTACTATCCATCTCCTAATTTCCTAGCCTACTTACCTATTTTGAAGAAGTCGTACTACATATTCTGTTGCAATATATAAAGATGCTTAGCCAGGATCTTTCACGGTTCATCGCAGCTATAGCATCAGGTGAAGCAAATATTGATTGCTGAGTGAGAAGTTTCAGAGTGAATGTAGAATGATATAAGAAAAAAGAACATATAAATAAAAAGGCTTACATATGGTCGTAAAGGGAATGTGAAGAGGCCTAGATAGCCATGTAATCTAACGAGATACATTCTCATGATTACAGCTAGATTACTATAACCATACGCGGTTTCATAACTGTTTGATTTCCTCCCTTTCTTTATTCAAAGCGTTTCGCTGCTAGTGCATTATTTAATTGTTTTAGCCGAATTACTTTTAAGAATGCTAGAGTTGTTTTCTCATCGTAACACTCCCCTTTATTCCTGAGCGTAGCAAGTCTTCGCTTGCTTAGTGACCAGACTGAGATCTGCGCAGTGTTGATATTGCTGACGTGGCAATCGCTTCGTAAAAAAATCAGCTGACATGTGGGAGAGTAGGTCATGTCAATCTTCTCTTTGTTGATTTCATCCTTGACGAAAACGTATTGCAGCCTGATGTGTTGACGAAACGATGCTTGTTCGCGATCTTGATCACGGTTTGGTTATCACATTGAAGTAGGAAGGTTGGCAATGTCGCGGTTTTGGCTTCCTATAGAAGCTCTTGCAGATACAGACCTTCGCGAACAGCGGTAGTGGCCGCGATGAATTCAGCTTCGGCAGAAGGCAGGGCAACAAATTCCTACTGCTGGGAATTCCAAGAATTTTCTCAATTGGTTTGAGTCAGAAGAGAAAATTAGTCCGGGAACATCAGTTGTCTGGATTAGCGGCGTGATCAGCGTCCTCGTGGACGGTGAGTTGGAACGAATAAGTGACAAGAATCGAGTAAGTGAGTATAATGTTGGGGTTGGAAATGAAGTATTGAAGGGCACGCCGAAGATCCAGCACGTTTTCCACTTTGGGTCAGTGAGAGTAGTAGGTAAATTGAATGGCGATGTAGGAAAGTTTGGCGATTGACGGCGGCGAACAACAGTCATCCCAGTTGCTGCTGATAGAGTTGATGTTATGCTGGTAGGAGGACTTTGGTGTCAGCTTTATAGCCAGACCTAGTTGTGCGGTATGGGTTTAGAGTGGTGCGGGTGGAATTTTGAAGCGCTCCACAAGTGTCTTAGTATACTAGGAAGCTAACAGATGGATAGCTTCTGGTGAGTAGCTGTAGTTCAGGCCGAAGAATTAGTTCAGGGCGTGGTTGGTGGCGATGCCCACGTGGCTTCCTAGGTTCCTCTCGAACTGATCCAGGAGATTGTTGCTTGTCCCGTAGTTGAGAAAGACATCAATGTACACAATGAGTCGAAATGTAGTCTCCACATCCACAAAATCGAGACGGTGCATTCCATGATTGTGAGGCAGTTGTGTGCAGCTGAAGTCGAGCAATATGTTGTGAAGATGTTGCCACAATCGTAGGGCTTGTTTGATGCTGTCCATAGACTTCTCGAGCTGACGCACCCGTGAATCTCCTTCTCCGTAGGTGTGCGGCTGTTCCATGACAATCAGTGTGTCGAACATCACATATACAAACGCGCTTTTTACATCGATCTGTTGGAAGAGGTATGTGACATCTGACCATGGCGAGAATGATACGTACAGAAGCGTAAAAGGTTACCGGTGCATATGTTTGATAAAAAATGCCATGCGGCCAGTCATAGCTACGTACCACCCAACTGGCCTTGAGGCACTCGATGGAGCCGTCCTATGTTGATCCCACTCAGAAAACCCATTTTCCCAAGAAGGCTCTCAAATTCGTTTTTGAGCTGTCTAATTCGGCAGCCTTAGGACGTAATTTTAGGTTGACCAATCAGCCTTGGTACAGAAAAGATGCTGAAATTACAGGATTGTAGCGGAAAACAAAAAAAAAAAAAAAAAAAAAATATAACCTCCTTGCCATTCATGATGTGATGCAGTCCTGCAGAGATAGGTAAGTTGTCGTGGGGCTTGCGCTTCTTGTAGCTCCTCTAGATATCCACAATCCCATCCCAGATTGGCTCATAACTCATCATGCTCATGCACATGAGGTCACCCAACCTGGCATCCTTCAATGAGGCCCGCTGCCATGACTTGCTGATGTTCTGCCGAGAGAAGCCACGCTCGCACTCCACAGTGCTGAGCGGAGAAACGGCTACCGCCACCCACAGGAGCACCAGGTTGGGGTGGTTCTCCTCCCAGTTAGGTGTTTTCAGCATTGCCGTGAGCCCCGCGTGAAAACTCCGCTCGTTCTTGTTGGCTGCCACAAGCACCAAGTTAAAGAATCGCAGCTCCTTCACCGCACGGCGTTTGTTGATACCTGGATGGGGGTGGAAATGTATAAGACACAACAGTGTAAAATTCACAAGCGCTGCTACACATGTAAAAAAAAAAAAAAAAAAAAAAAAAAAAAAAAAAAAAAAAAAAACACATGCAAACAACAAGTGGTACACCACTGCTAGCCGCGTTTGTATACATGATTGACATCATGATTACCTGGCAGGATGTCGGCGGTCAGCTCTACCCTGAACAGCGTGACCATGGACTCTAACCACTCAAGGCAGCGCGCGTTCTGCTCGCCTCGTTACAGAGGCCAAGCATCAGGCGTGGAGATTCTCGCCCGTGACAGCGCATCCACGTCGCCCTGTTTTGACCAAAGGTTATTCATGATCATCTTCGTGAACTCCGTGCAGACGCCCACGCACCCGTCATGTGTCCCACGCCCACCAAACTCCTCCAAGGGATCCTCGTGAAGCATGAATGGAAAATGTGCCTGTCGCCCATCACGCCCACATGCTTTTCTGACTATTTTCTGGACTAGATCCCATGCGCCTGCATCTGCGTTCCGCGTCTAGGGCTGTCTTGCTCATGTCCGCGATGCTCGCGCGGACAAGCTCTCAGCTTGCACTGTCCCCTGTGTCTTTCTTAGTTTCCCTCTAGACACTACTGACTGGCTGTCCTACCACCCTTCCTCCTGCCGCTTCTTAAGCTCTCGTGACGTCACCTTTGACGGGTCTGTCTGCTTTTACACTCGCTTCCCCCACAGAGGTACCCTGGTTCCCCCCCCCCCCTCCCCAGTGCATCTCCCCACATGGTCCGACCCTTTTGACAGCTCCCCTCCCCCCGCGTCCCGCCCCGTCTGGTCTGTCGCACGTCACTCCGCAGTCCCCACCGTCGCCGGCCTCGTCCTCGCAGTTGCCGCAGCAACCGTAGTCGCCGCAGCCAGGTGTCGCGTCGCATCCATGTGTCACTGTGGACATTGTGGGTGCTGGTTCGGGGGGTGCATCTGAGGCTAACGCTGGTGGTGCTGGTTCTGGGGGTACTGGTTTTGGGGTTGCGTGTAATCGGCATTGGTCTTATTGCCTCATTGCCTCATTCTAATCCCCGGGGCAAAAAAACGAGGGGTGGGGGAGGGGGGGGGTGGGGTGTGGTTATATCCGGGGGTTACGGCACCCTGATTTTTAGGGTGATGCTAGGAGCTGTACCCTGAAATTTCAGGATTTTGATAAATTTCACCCTCTAGATTCAGGATAGTGCATTGTGAGGACCCTGAAATTTCAGAATTGTGATATTTTTTTGCCCTGAGGCATTAGGATCTCTGTTAGGGGTACCATGGCGAATATATAGCAGGATGGGGTGCGGGGGTGGTGGAGAGACGCGTTCTTATACTAGAGTATACTGAACTGAACGCATATTAGCAGCAACAATGCTGCCGCAGTTCACAGCCACCACCGTACACTGTAGCAGCACAGCACATGGTAGTACCGTATAAAAGCAGCCCGATAGGTACGGTACATCAGGGACCACCAAAATATTAGCCCTGAAAATTCAGGATCCTTCACACATCTGCCCTTAAAAACAGGTTTCTTTTTTCACAAGTACAGAATATGAGGGCCTGCTTGTGACCGCATGGCTTTCTGGATGGACTATTGTACCACCCTGAGTTTCCTTTGCTTTCTCTAGCGACTGTCCATCACCTAGCCTATGGTGGGGATGTATCGAATTGAATTATATCTGTGATATATGGTACCGTATTTTAGTTATAGGCTGGGTTGAGTTATGCACTAGTGAGTACAACACAATTGCATGTTAGGGCTTCCTACTTGTACTCCTGCATGCTGTCATGGTGTTCACTCTCGTTCGTTTCATTCGCTAACACAGTTGTCATCTTGCATGCACTAGTGGCCAAGATGCAGACATTTTACCCATTGACAACTTTCCTCTCATACGGTAGTACGTATGTACAGCAACTCAGCAGCAACACTTCAGTACAATCAAGGGGGGTATGTGGACAGCTACTACCCTGCTTTTGACAGTCATTGGGCTGTGGTCCATCTATCCAATCCACCACCAGGCTGTCATGAAGCGATGATTGAGCATGCATGCACTGCTGAGAAGAACGGAGTCTGCATGAGCGCTTCAGTGAATCATTAGCCGCATTCTGGCGGACCGAACAGATGGGAGGTAGTCAATCCACCACCACTCTGTCTGTCACCCTACCCACATCAATCAGCAACGGCTCTTTCAGCTTTGGCAGCCAGCGGAGTGACCCGGGCAGAGAGTTCAGCTCTGGTAAATAGCACAGCTCCAGCGTTTCAAGGTTTTTTAGCTGCCCGAGTGACTTGGGCAGCACAGATAACTTTTCCATGTATTGGAGCTTCAGGACCCTGAGGTTTTCCAGCTGTCCAAGGGACCCTGGCAGGCTGGAGAGGCGGTGCATGTGGGTGAGGGTGAGGGAAGAGAGGGCAGAGAGCGTGGAGATGGAACCAGGGAGAGAGGTGATTCGTGAGCAGGCGCACAGTGATAGGCTGGTGAGAGACGCCAGGCCCCACGGCTGCTGTGTGCTGCGCTGCTCCTCGCCTTGCTGTGGCTGTGGCTGTGGCTGTGGCTGCGGCTGCGGCTGTGGCTGCGGCTGCGGCTGTGGCTGTGCCTGTGGCCGTGGCTGTGGGTCGCTAGACGTGTTGACCATACTGCAAGCACTGGTGGGGCCGGCAGCAGTGGCTGTAGGAGCGACAGTGGCAGAAGCAGGAGCAGGGTCAAGAGGAGGGCGAGGTGCAAGGTCAGGAGCCATGGAAAGAGCGGAAGCAAGGGAGGCGGTCACACCCAGTGGGGGATGCGGAGCAAGCAATGGCTCTAGGGACTCGAGGAGAGTGCACCATGTGATTTCGAGCTCTTCCAGGCGCATCCGCATGGCCATCTGGGGAGGCAGCTGCTGCAGTTCGCCGCAGTCGCGCAGGTAGAGCTGCTCCAGGCTGTGCCTCACACTCCCCGTGCATAGGCTTTCCGGCAGCTGCCGCAGCAGGCCCAGCTGGTCGATTTCCAGCGATCTCAATTGCTGTAGCTCTCCCATGCTCTCAGGCAGATACCCAATCTTGGGAAGATTCTGAAGTTTTAAGGTTTCAAGCTGTATCAGGGCTCCAAGACTATCCGGAAGGGAGGTGATTTTAGGGCATGAGAGGGAGAGGGAGGAGAGGGGGAGGCAGCAGATGGTGTCCGGCAGGCTCTGGAGGGACTCGCAGCAGAGAGAAAGCGCCTTCAATCGCAGCATCGCCCCCATCACATGCGCAGGCACGCGCGTCAAACACTTGGAATGTAGCGAGAAGGAACGAAGGCAGGTGAGGTGGTGGAAGGAATCCGGGATCGACTCTAACTCATGCATTTCGATCTCTAGGGTTTGCAAATGCGGTAAGCCACCAATGGAGGTGGGGAGGTGCGCGAGAAAGAGGTTGGTAAAGGTCAAGCTTCGGAGGTTGGTGAGGCTGCCGATGGAATCGGGGAGACCTTTGAACGCGGACCTTGTTGCCACGCGGAGCTCCTGTAGCTGCTGCAGCGCGCCAATGCTTTCAGGCGGCGCGATGAGATGCTCGAGCTGATCCACGCCGTGATTGGCATTGGAGCCGTTATAGCCTTCGCAGCGGCAGAGATGGAGGGTTCTGAGGTCGCAGAGGAGAGGCGGGCGGCAGGTGCGGGAGGTAGTGGAGAGTGAGGGGGCGGAGGTGGCGGAGCTTGCGACAGCCATGGAAGAGAGACGAGAGGTCGCTGCAAGTGACGGGCATGCGAAACTGGCAGTCCACGGTTAGATGTGTCAAATGGTGACACGTGGCGCCCAGGCATTGGAAGAGAGATTCGCCGTTCGGATACAGAACGCGATACCTTTGAAGCTCGAGGTGCGTGAGCGAGGAAAAGGTGCGAATCGTGTCTAGGAGAACGGAACATCGGATGTCAGATTTGATAGTGAGGTGCGCGAGCGAGAACCGCGCTGCGGCGTACCATCGCGTGGAGACAAGCGCGTAATGGAAGGAGTCGCGCGTTAGCGAGCGCAGCACGAGCGAGAGAAGGTAATCGTCGGCTAGGACCTCCACGATCGGCGACTGAAGAGGGGAAGGGGCCGAGAAGGCGGGGAAGAGGGGGAACGGCAGAAACGACATGGTACGATTCGTAGTATGTCCGCAATAGAATGATATTCCCGAGTGAACAAATGCAGCTTACGACGGGTTTCATGGTAATGCGTGAAATGCGGTGCTCGCCAAGCAAGGTTGACTAGCGGGGAGAGGGAGGACGGGCAGAAGTTGCGTTTGGGGGGTTGATGAGGGGGCAGTGCCGTGTGCCGTGTTGATTGAGGCTTGTGGCGTGTCGTTCCAGACCGTGTATGCAGCCATGATCGCCTGACGCGATCAATGTGCAAATCAGGGCGCGTCCCCTCCCTCGATCGATCGAGGGACAGCTACAAAGTCGCAATTGACAGGGTAACCTGATTTCGAGATGGCTTGCGAATGTACAGTAACTGGTGCCCAACGATCATGTCACCTGTGCTGATGACGATCGATGTGCCTTCGTGGCCACACCGATCTCGGCTTTTGTAGGATCGAGAGTTTTCCGCCTCGTATTTTCGATCCTGTCACCTTGGGCTCGGGATCGATCCCCGATTGTCACCTGCTACCAATCCCATCCCAATCCTGCGATCGGTGTGCCCGGTCGGTTTTTCACGGCGATCTCGCGATCGATCGAGGGAGGGGACACGCCCTCTACCATTATGTAACCAGGCTACAATGACAGTTTTGGATAAAAATACACCCACATTCAGACACGACAACTGATCGTCGATTTGTGGCGATCAATCACAGCATCGCTGGGATGCAAATGCCGACGATCCGAGCATGACAGTGAAGATTGATCCACGTGCTTGCGACGTGACAGGGTTTCGCTAAGCGAGTGAATGGGGTCAACCAATGTACAGATTTCCCAGGGCCATCGATTCACCAACCCGATTGCCCGGTGAGTTGCGAAATTCGTACTCGTGTTCGCACGGAGTGTGTCAAGCGAATGGTTTATGCGCGTCAAAATGATCCTCGCGAATGGAACACAGCGATCGACATTTCTCTCCTACCGTTACAGCGATGGGTGTGCATGTCAGAGTCCTAAGGCAAGAAAGAATGACTTCACTATGATGAAAGATGAGTACAAGGGGTTGTACTCTATGTAAGCTACCCCACTACAGCCTACAGACATACAAACACAGTTTGACACACCCCCATAGGCAAAGTGGGGGATAGCAAGAACAACCAACGGTCACAAGACCAGTCAAGCAAGAGAACAAAGCAAAACAAAGCTCAGGATGGATCTCAAGATCACCACGCAGTCTCAGCACAAGCAAGCGGCCACAAGGCCAGTTCACATGTAGACTTATAAAAACACAAGCAGTACAGTAATAACATCCTAGCAAGCGCAAGCATGCAGGTATATATACAAAGATCACAGTACAAGGCAAAGTCAAGCAACCAGCAGGTGAGGCAGAGAAGGCACATGGCCTAGAGGAGTGCAAAAACGCTGATGATCACCAGACTCAAGGGCCTTGGTGAAGACATCAGCAGTGTTGGCCCGAGAGGCCACGTAAGCAAGGCGAAGCTGACCTTGCTGCTGCAACTTGCGAGCAAGAAAGTAACGAAGAGCAATGTGCTTCGTTCTGTGGTCCAGTCTCTGCTCCCGACACAAGGCAATCATGGCCTTGTTGTCAACATACAGAACTAGAGGAGAACGAGGCCGCTCACCCAAGTCGGTTAGCAGGTAGGTCAGCCAGCGTAACTCCTTTGCAGCCATAGCTCCAGCGTAGGTCTCGGCCTCACAGCTGGAACCAAGCACAGAAGACGAACGAGTGCAGTTCCACGAGACAGAACCAGAGCCGGGACTGAAAGAGTAACCCTGTGACCACCGCTGAGTGGCCTAGTCGTCGGCTTAAGAAGCGTCGGAGTGTCATGTGAGTACCACTGAACCCCGTCTTCCAAGCACGAGCCCCATGCTCGATGGGGCAGGCAGCTGACAGGCATCCCACAGCTGTACTGTGTAGTCGATGCTCATGCGAGCATCGACTGCCCCGTGCTCGATGTACTGCACATCCTTCGATGTGCCGCTGACGATGCGTATTCCTTGATGGCTTTTCAGAGCGCTGATGCGGGCAACGAGTTGTTCAACGATGGCGGCGCTGACGGAGGTCACCGCTGATGGCGCATTAGTTGTTGCTGGTGGTGGGCCCAGAGAGTCTGCAGTAGTTTTCCCTTCAGGAGCCATAGTGATGCAGATTTGTAACAGGTAATTTTAATGGATAAGTTTATAAAGAGTTTGTTCTGGGAAGAAGAGAAACTTGGCATATCTTATAATCCACTCTAGCTCTCTTATCATGTTGATATAACCGGGAATCGTAGTGGATAGGACAAGACTTGCTAAGTTGTGAGAAGACAATGAAGTCTTGTAATGACCTTGTACAAGGATATAAATAGCAATCCTAGCTAGCCATGTACTCTGAGGGGTACATTCCCTTATTAACTGCATTGCATTGCTACAATAACCGCGACTATTACTCTACTCGACAGTTACCAAGTTGCATCGTGTAACCTCCGAGTACGATTACTGGGCGGTCAACAGTCACGACCGTCGACTATCTGCGACTGTTGACCTTCGAGTGACTCTCGAGCAGTCGCGTGCTCTATACGAGCGTAACGCGATAGTAGTACAGGTGCGCTGCCTCATTATGAAGCAATGCACTAAGTGAAGCCTTCGGAAATGTTATCATAACCATCGGTTATTCCAACACAGGAGGGCGGTTCGCGATCAACTTTTACAGAGCTGACATTAACTTCTGTGGCCAATCCCAACTTCCGTATCACCCCGGATACTAGCGCATATGCGCTTATAATAAAATTGAATTTTTTTATAGGGGGCGCTTGTAATTGAGTTTCGGGCAGGGTTGACTTTATCAGACTAAAGTAGTCTGATTGTCTGAAATTTCAGGGTATTTTCCTACGGATCCTGATTTTTCAGACTTGTAAGAATTTTAAACATGAGTACTTAAGACTTACCGTATTCCCCCGAATAAAAGACCCCCCCATAATAATGTACCGGGTCTTTAATACGGGGGGGAAGGGGGGGGGGGGGGGTTACTTTATTGCGGGTTGTGTGCGTTATACCCCCCACTTGGGGTGAAATCATTATAAGACCCCCCCCAAACCTCAAAAGTGTGTTTAACATGAAAATATTAGTCCATGTTTCTGTTTCTGTTCCGAGGCGGTCTGACACAATGCAGTGGACGTGGTACACGTCCGTCGCCCCGTGATCTAGCGTGCCGGTTACCACTGAATATGGGCCAATGAGCATGAAGCATTCAGATGCTTCATGGATTGTGCCCGCTTCCTCGGCCCACGTCATTCGCGTGGTGTTTCCCCGTTTAAAAAACGCAGCACAGCATTACAACAACCCTGCAATTCATTACATTCAGAAAAACATAGCACTTATACTAAGACATGGGTCTTATACCTTTTATACTATTTAATAAGATCCCCCACATTTTTTTATGAAATCAATAACAGACCCTAGGGTCTTTTATCAGGGGGAATACGGTACTTTGGATTCTGAGATTTTCAGAGTAGTGACTTAGCCGATAATGGGTCTTCATACTACAGGGAGTACGGATCCTAAAATGCGGATCTGTACTCTCTACGTACCTTCCGCTACGTCAAACCGTATAACCCCGGATATAGGCGCCGGCGCTTCTCTCTGGAGCATGGCGCTTATGGCCGATACTCGATTATAAGCGCACCCGCTTTGGACCCTTTACTTATTATAGGCGCATCCCAGTAACATTTTCTGTTGTTCACATAAAATAAAAAACTAACAATTAACATTTTGGTCACTATACTGATAAATCTTGCACCAACATTTTCAACAATTTCACAACTATCTAACTACTCATGTCGTACATCTTCCTTTCTACCATGCAACTAGCTACTCCTCCTCGTCAGACTCGGGCTCTTGGCAGTTGTTGCCAAAGAAGCCGTCGGCGATGATGTCATCATCGACATCCACTTCCGCGGTCAGCTGGCTCCGCCTATGCGCCATGGCGAGCCCGTCCTCACTGCCGTCAAGCACGTTGCTAATGCCGCAGGTGAGGAAAGCGCGCTTGATGAGGTCGGCAGGCACTGCTCTCCAGGCCCGTGAGATCCATCTCCGGACCACCGTTGGGGGCGGCTTCTTGAGGTTCCCTGCCGCAACACAAAGGCACGATGGAAAGGCGTTAGAGCAACAAAGGGGCGGGGGATAATACCACACTAGGGCAGGCGTTTAATCCGTTGATTACGTACCCGCTTTTGTCAGCTGCTCTTGGCCCTCTTCTCCAAACCACTTCTGGTACTGCTGGTGGACTGAGGCCTTGAACGACTTGTTGATGGAGACCTCGAGGGGCTGTACCTCCACCGTGCAGCCCGACGGGATGACCGCCGGCACGCAGTTGAGCTCGCGGAATTTCTCCTTCACCCCCTCAGTCAGGTGACCGCGGTAGGAATCCAACACGACAATCAAGCTCCTAGCATGCCTTCCTAACCGGGGCTTTAAGAAGGGCTTGATGCACTCTTCAAGCCATCGAATGACGCCCTCGGCGTCCATCCACCCATTCTCGTGGCACACCACGACCACATCTGCACAATCAACAGCGGACAGTCAGAATTGATTAAAAAACACAAACCGCATCTTCCATCAACAAGATTCTTGTCTTACCCGGCGGGAAGTCGCCCTTCGGCGCCGTCTTCCGCTTGAAAAAAAACCACGGCTTGAGCTTCTCCCCGTCCGCCGTGCACGCCAACATCACAGTCACGCGCTCCTTTTGGTACCCCGCACTCCTTATGTGCACCGACCGAACGCCAGTTTCTTCCACGGTGGTGGTGGCGGGCATCTCCAGCCAGAGCGGCGTTTGGTCGGCGTTGACAATCCATGTGGTCTCAATGCCGTGCTCGCGACGCTTGTCACGGACGAACGTCCAGAACCTTTTGCACTACTCCGCGACATCTGTGAAACAGTGGAACGGGTTGGGGTAGTAACGGTATTGGGTTAGTACAAAGCAAGTACATCTACACAGAAAATTAAAACCCGCGTCTCATATTTTCTACGGTATTAAACTTGGTTGGGCTAAAGCACCTGTGATTGGGTTACGAGAGGCGAAATTTGTGACGAACAGTTTGAAATACACAGACGAAACGTCAGTTCGTCCAGTCAAAGCCAAACGACCCCCTCAGGCATGGAAAGCTACCACACCTGAAAAACGTACCTGGCAGAATCGCACTTGCGTGCGACCAATCAAAACGGCAAGACACAAATCGCCCACCTTTACCAGGAAAAGCAGATCAAGACACTCGGCTGTGATTCTTAGTTCCGCCGCACTTGAAAGTACCTCCTCTAGTAAGATGCTGACGGACTGCACATAAACATGGCTTACGCAGTCTATTAGATCGCGTTTCGGAGATCGGTGAATTGCGAACATGTATGGTAGGGGATAACGCAGATTAGGAAATGCCATGCTTCAATAGTTTCAGCGAGAGGTCACGACCTACGCTCGCAGTCGCGATTGCCTAACAGGGGCGCGACGGCCATCTACGCCAAGCGAAGGAATCGCTCACCCCCAGGTCCATCGCTCAACCGCAACTTCACCCCAAGATCCACCGCGAATGGCGGAATTGGTTTAGGTTTTAGAGCTCAATTGGCGAGACGCGAGGAGCGGAATCGGCGAGACTCGAGGAGCGGAATCTGCCCTACGCGACGAGGTGGCTTCGCCATATCGCAGCAGCTCCTCCTGTAGCCCCGCCGACCTCATGCGGTGAATCGAGGTCTGCGGTGTGCGCGTGTGTGGGGTGGCGCTGGTGAACAATGAGCGGGAGGGCGAGCAGATATACCGCGCGAGGGGAATCAAACGGTGGAGATATCGTGGAGAGTGGCACCACTCGGTCTTCCTGCTGCACACTACCTCCACCTACGCCATTCGCAAGGCCGCTGCCCGGATCATGGACGAACCTGCCTCCACTCCTCCTCTTTGTCTCATCCCCCTTCAACCCCCTGACCCCCCACTTTTTAGCCGTTTCCCGCCTCTTCCCCCGTCTTTCCCCCTCTGACTACTCTCGTTTTCCTCTCCCTCTCCCCCGCTCTATCCTCCACTGCCATCTCCAGCTGCCCAGGATCCCTCCTCGCTGCGCACTCTCTCCCTTGCTCCCCCCCTTCCCCTCACTCTCCCTACTCCCTTCCCCACCTCTCCCTGCTTCGCTCCTTCTGTCCGCGTGTTGATCTCCGTCTCCGTCATCACTGCCCCTCAGCATCATTCTTCAAGAGCATGGCACAGTGCGCTCTTGCCTACCCCCCTCTCTTCCCTCTTCTCCCCCGTCTACCCAAGCTCCTCTCTGCCGGCCGTTCCTCGTCCTCCTCCCCCTCATCACCTGTGTGCCACGCTGGGCGTGTTGTCTCTGCCACTGACTCTGTCTCCATGCTGCAGGTATGCTGGGGGAACAGTGCGGGGGTGGTGGGGTTGGGGGGAGATTCAGGGGAGAGTGGGGTAGGAAGAGGCCACGTGGGTGTGTAGCCTAGAGATGGGCAAGGGTGAGGGTAAGGGTGGGTGTGTGGGGGAGGGCATCACGTGCCCACGCGCACCAGCAGCCTGCAGTGCCCCTTCCTCCCACTCTACCCTTCCCCGACTGTCTCCTCACCTGTTTGCCCTACTGTGTGCCCTCCTGAGTGCCGTCAACTTATCTCCGCGCTGCTTCCTCAGCATGTCCTCTTTTACTCCCGCCCCCCTTCCCTCTCTCCCCTCTCCTACCCACTATCCCCTTCCCTCTCTCCCCTTCCCTCTCTCCTCCTTCCGCCCGCATCTGTTCTCAGGTCAGCCCATCCACTCAATCAGCAGCTCGCTCCACTACCACCCCTCCATCCACCCATTCCCTTCCCCAGCTGCCACACTCGCTGTGTGATTAAATGTAGTCCTCCCACTTCTCCCACACCTCCTCTCCTCGGACTCCAACCCACCAGCTCTCCCACCATCCCGCACTCGCCTCCCCTCTTTCGCCCCCTTCTTATTCCGAGTGGAAACATTTTGCTGCCTTTCAAGAACCTTCTCCACGTTCCTTACGCTATGATTGCTGCCCCCTCCTCCTCCCCTCCTCTCCCTGTTAACCCAACCTCACCCCCCTCCTCCACCAACATCTCTCATCTCCTGCTCGCCATCGGGCTCGAAGAGGAGGAATAGGGTAGCGGGGGAAGGTGAGGGTTTGGACAGGGTTGCGGCAACATTTGATGTTAGAGAGAGGGGAGAGGGGGGTGGAAGAGAAGGGGGAGGGGGAGCGGGAGGGGGAGGTGGGGAAGGTGAGTGCTGTGGTGGCGGCCATGAGTGTGGAAAGCCCTTTCCTTCTCCATCTGCCCTCCTTTTTTTTCATTTCCCCTACTATGCCATCCCATCTCCTGTCCCGTCCCTTCTCATCTCCTCTCCCGTTCTTCTCATCTGCCGTCCCTTCCTTCCCATCTTGCGTGCCAACCTCCCTTCCTTCCATCACCCCTACCCTCTTCTGTTCTCCCCGTCCCCCCTTCCTACCACCTTTCACATCTCAACTGCCCTTTTTCTCATCCCTAGATCCCTCCTTCCTCCGGCCACCTCTCCCTTTGTTCCAGCTACAAGCAGGACTAAGCTAGTCCCAGGCGAGCCTGGCGGAACGGGAGGGACAGGCAAGCAGCAGATGCACGACCAGATGCACGAAGGCGAGACCGGCGCTAGAGGATAGTTCTACCCCATATCTTCAAGATATTACTCAACTGTATACATTCAATAAGTTCATTCAGTGCTGTGCTCAATTGCCCCTTCAAAGATGGATGCATTGAAGCAATCTGAGAATCAATTGTAATATGCTATTGAGTGTCAAGAGACTAGGAGAGTTTGGCAAGCCTACTTTGCGAACAACTGAGTTTTTATTCTACGCATTAATTACAAAACTAAGGATGAACTGGTTCTTTGTGGCGCCATGCTGAAACAAGCACATCAACAGGTGGGCGGGAAGTGGGGAAGCAGAGGGGAGACAAGTGGGGAAACAGAGGTGAAGCATGAGAGGAAACTGAGGTGAGGCATGAGACGAAACTGAGGTGAGGCATGAGACGAAACTGAGGTGAGGCATGAGAGGAAACTGAGGTGAGGCATGAGAGGAAACTGAGGTGAGGCATGAGAGGAAACCGAGGGGAAGAATGGGATGAGGGAACGGGAAAGGGGGATGAGGGAAAGGGAAAGGGGGATGCGGGAAAGGGAAAGGGGGATGAGGGAAAGGGAAAGGGGGATGCGGGAAAGGGAAAGGGGGATGCGGGCAAGGGAAAGGGGGATGAGGGAAAGGGAAAGGGGGATGCGGGAAAGGGAAAGGGGGATGAGGGAAAGGGAAAGGGGGATGCGGGAAAGGGAAAGGGGGATGCGGGCAAGGGAAAGGGGGATGAGGGAAAGGGAAAGGGGGATGCGGGAAAGGGAAATGGGGATGCGGGAAAGGGAAAGAGGGATGCGGGGAATGGAAAGGGGGATGAGGGAAATGGAAAGGGGGATGCGGGAAAGGGAAAGGGGGATGCTGGGAAGGGAAAGGGGGATGCTGGGAAGGGAAAGGGGGATGCTGGGAAGGGAAAGGGGGATGCTGGGAAGGGACGAGGATGCTCTCCTCCCGTCCCTCTCTCGCCGCGTCCCCTCCTCTCTCGTCGCGTCCCCTCCTCTCTCGTCGCGTCCCCTCCTCTCTCGTCGCGTCCCCTCCTCTCTCGTCGCGTCCCCTCCTCTCTCGTCGCGTCCCCTCCTCTCTCGTCGCGTCCCCTCCTCTCTCGTCGCGTCCCTAACTCTCTCGCCGCGTCCCTAATTATCTCGTCGCGTCCCCTCCTCGCTCGTCAGGTCCCCTCCTCGCTCGTCGCGTCCCCTCCTCTCTCGTCGCGTCCCCTCCTCGCTCGTCGCGTCCCCTCCTCGCTCGTCGCGTCCCCTCCTCTCTCGTCGCGGCGACGATTGCGACGCCCGCTCCACCTACCGCTTCCGCCGATGCCTCTCTCTATCCGTTGCCGCCGATGCCTCTCCCTCTCCGCTTCCGCCGATGCCTCTCCCTCTTCGCTTCCGCTGATGCCTCTACCTCTCCGCTTCCGCCGCGGAAGGGAAAGGGAGATGCGGCGAAGAGAAAGCGGGGTACCGTCGCGTCCCTTCCCGTCCCTTTCCGTCGGCGCATGTCCTCCCGTTTCCTGTCGCCAGTCCCGTTCCTGGGGCGTCGCTTCCCCTCCTTCCCTGTCCCGTCATATCCTGTCCGCTTCTCTCCCCTCTCACCTTATCCCGTCCCGTCCCCTCTCGTCTCGTCGCGTCCCTCCTTCCACGTTCCGTCCCGTCCCGTCGTAACCAATACCGTCCCTTCCAATCCCCTCGCGTCCTTTCCCATCCGGTCGCGTCTTCCCGTATTCTTCCTTCCGTAATTCATCGTCCCGTTTTGTGCGCTGGTCAGCTATTGCTACCCTCTCTCTTCTACTAAACTATGGTGCCGCTTTCCCCTCCTGTGGTTAGCGCAGCAATCGGCTGTACGATCCTCCCTGTCGATCGAGGGTCCGTACGTACGCAGATCTGCGTGAAATGCCATGAACAGGCTCAAACCCTAAACTAAGTCGTTGAAAAAAAAACTTAGTGGTTGTGTGGAGGTCACTCTCCTCTCTAGCTGCATCCGGATTGATATGGAGTCTCGTTTTTGGGTTGCGTAGCAACCCCTTTACATTTGGTAGCACTTTTTTCGGTCGACTCGAATGAACAGTGCACATTTTTGTCATATTCCCAACATCTGAAGCACTAGCTTTAACGTTTTGAGAACGTGTGCTTCAAATGTGTGGAGATGACAGCACTGCTACACAAGAGTCTCCAAAAAAAGTGAAACCAAATGAGACCAATTATTCCATAATCGTCGATAAATACGGCGAATGGAAACAATTGGTAGCAGCCTCGCCATATTTTACGGTACATCACACACAATTGACGAGACAACAAATTCGGCGTGGATGCAAATTACGGATTTGCATCTACCATATCGAACATGAGCAAAACGACAACAATCAACAACAGCAAATGTCATAAAGTGAATGGCAAAATGCATCAGTGCTACAATAGCGATGGATCCGGTATGCTAAGGCGAGCAACGCTGCCCCAACAACGATCCCCACCCACCTCAATTGCAGACCTGACACACTTTAACATGACACCTTACAACAAACACGAACGAGCACATGCAACATTGTACTGGTACAACGACGACAACGCATAACAATAATGAGTGTTGATGTTATAACCGAAGAATCGTAGTGGACAGAATAAAGCTTGCTAAGTATAGGAGAGAACTGTGAAGTCTCTGTAATGACCTTGTTAATAATTTGAAAGAGAACAAGATGATTATAAGATAGGAGTACAAGAGTATAAATAGAAAGCCTAGCTAGCCATGTACTCTGAGGGGTACATTCCCTTATTAACTGAATTGCATTGCTACAGTAACCCGCGACTATTGCCATTCTAGACAGTTACCATGTTGCGTTTCGCAACTGTCTTGTGCGGTTACTAGGCAGTCAAGGGTCACGACCGTTGACTGTATTCGACTGTTGACCTTCGGGTGACCCTCGAACTTCCGCGTGCTCTATACGAGCTCATGCGGTACTGGTACAAGCACCTGCTTCGCTATGAAGGGATGCGATAGTGGGGGAGTCTTCGGGAATGCTTGTGATAACCTTTCGGTTATCCCAACACTCCCCTTCATTCCTGAAGATGAGCCACATGGGATTTCTTGGTGATCCCGCAAAGGTTGGCGCAGTGCTGGAACTGTTGACGTGGCAGTTTCTTTGTCAGAAAGTCGGCTGCCATGTCACCGGTCGGGCTGTACGTGAGCTTGACCTTGCCCTTGTCGATTTCGTCCTTGACGAAGAAGTAGCGAAGGGCGATGTGTTTCGTGCGATTCACGAAGCCGGGTTTGTTTGCGATCTTGATCGCACTCTGGTTGTCGCAGAGTAACGTGAAGTGCCCGTTCATCGTTGCTTTCGCTTCTTGCAGGAGCTCCATCTGGTACAGTCCTTCGCGAACAGCTGCGCTGGCGGCGATGGATTCTGCTTCGGCTGACGAAAGGGCGATGAGTTCCTGCTTCTGAGAGTTCCATGAGATGAGCCCAGCAGGTTGGAGTTGAAAAACAAATCCTGTGCGGGAGCGTCTGTTGTCAACATCTCCCGCGTGATCAGCGTCTACGTAGCCGTGCAGCTGCAGGGTGGCCGTTAAGTTAGCTTCGTAGGTGAGACCGACGTCGGGAGTAGAGATGAAGTATTGGAGTGCGCGGCGCAGATCCTGTAGATTCTCCCCTTCAGGTCGCTTCATGTACTGAGCGAGCTGGCTTGCGACGTAGGAGAGATCGGGCCGGCACGTGACGGCGGCAAAGAGAAGGCACCCGAGCTGCTGCTGATAGAGCCGATGATCCTCAAGAGAGAGGGGCGAGGTGTCGGCTTCGTGGTTAGGAGAAGGAGTGCGAAACGGGGTGGAGAGGTTGATTGGTGCGATGCCGAACTTCTTCGCGAGTGTCTCGGCGTACTTGGCGGCGGAGAGGTGAATGGAGGAGGCAGACTGGGTGATGTTGAGTCCGAGAAATTGTGTGACGTCGTGGTTGATGGTGACTTCCAGCTGCTCCTTGATGTCAGCTTCGAACTGATCCAGTAGCTCCGTGTCGTCACCGGTGTAGAGGAGGTCGTCGACGTAGGCAACGAGGAGAATGAACTTGCCGCGCGACTCCTTCCGGTACATTCCGAGGTCGTGGGGTAGCTGTTGGAAGCCGAGGTTTGTTAGCACCGTGTGGAGGTACTGCTGCCACAGGCGAGGTGCTTGCTTGATCCCGTAGAGGGATTTCTGGAGCAGGCAGACGGCGCCGTCGTTCTCTTCGAAGGCATGTGGCTGCTCGACGAAGATGATTGCGTCGACTGGAGCGTATAAGAATGCGCTGCCGACGTCGATCTGACGGAGTGGGCGCAGCTTGACGGCTGCGATGCAGATGAGGATTCGGACGGAGGTGTGTCGTCCGACTGGTGCGTAGGTGAGATCAAAGTCCACCATGTGTGTTTGCTCGAAGCCGCGTACCACCCAACGCGCTTTGTATTTGTCAATGGAGCCGTCCGCCAGTGTTTTGATGCGGAACACCCATTTTCCGCTGAGAATTTTCCTCCCCTTCGCAGATGTCCGGGGAACAAGCTTCCAGGTGCCACGACTTTTGAGCGATGCGTTTTCCTTAGCCATGGCTGCCTTCCACTTCTCACTGTCGGGGCCGGAGAGAGCTTGGCGAACGGTGGTGGGCTCCTTGGGAGAGGTGTGGCGAACAGCGACGGCGAGCCCGAGGATGCGGAGACCAGTTTCGTTGGTCTTTTCGTAGTGCAGACGGTCGTAGTCGTGAAAGCTGGTTACTTCGACCACGTCGTCGTCACTGTCGTTGCCGGGGCGGATGGAGTCCCGCGAGGTGTTTGGTGGTGGTAACTCGGCATCTGGTGACTGGCGGGCGTTGCTGTTGAAGTCATGGGCTTCGCGAGTTGTATCATCAGGATCAGGTTGGTGTAAAGGGATGAAGGTTGGAGTCTAGAAGGGGCTTGTAAGGGGGATGTTGGGTGCGCTGTCAAATTGGGAGACATTTGTCGCGTCCACATCTTCCGCCAGGTCAGCTTCGTCATGTGGAGTGGCGAAGCTGCTGTGTCCCTCGAAAACCCTTTCCGGTGCCCTGTCAGCTTCGCGGTGTTCGTTGAACAGTGGCAGGGCCAGTTTCTCGTAGAAGATGCAATCACGTGATTTCGTCACTTCGTGTGTCGCGTAGTCCAGCACGATCCACGCCTTGAATTCCTTTTCGATTCCGAGGTGGATGCCCCAGCGTGCCCGGTCAGCAAACTTTCCGGTCCTTGCTGTGTGTGGTATGTACTGTACCATGCAGCCAAACACCCGAAGCAGACGCGTGTCTGCCTTTCTGCCCGTCCACGCCTTGTAGGGGGAGTTGTTGTTCTCGAGGCTTCGGGATGACAGCAAGTTGTGCAGCCGGACTGCATGGTTCATGGCGAATGGCCAGTAACGAGTTGGGATGGCCGACTGCTTCATCAGGGCCCTCATCCTGGTAGCGAGGCTCCTGTTTGTCCGTTCTGCTACTCCTTGCTGCTCGTGGGCGTAGGGCAGGGACACCAGGTGTTCAATCCCTTTCTTTCGGAAGAGCTCCTTGAACTCGTCTGAGAAGAACTCCAGAGCTCCGTCTGTTTGCCAGCCTTTTAATTTAAGTCCCGATTGGCGCTCAGCTCGCTTCATCCACGCGATGAAACATTCGAAGGCGAGCGACCTGCAGTCGGTGTTGACAGCCCAGACGTAGCGAGTGCTTGCGTCGATGAAGGTCAGTGTGTAGTATTCGCCGTCAAGTCCTTCATTCGTCAGGCACATGAAGTCGCTGTAGACCTTGTCGAGCGGCTTGTAACGTTCGTAGCCTGGTGGTAGATCGGGGAAGGGCTTGTGGGCGAGCGACGCGGTGGGGCACACGGTGCAGTTCGGGTCATCGAAGTTTGCGGTGAGGAAGCCTCCTCGTGGGAGGAGAAGAGCTTCGTTGTCGAGGACCCCAGCCTTCAGAGAGTTCTTGAGTGTTGTGTGAGAAGGATGTCCGAGCCGCTGATGCCAGATTTCAGGTTCCGCACGGTAGCCCACTGTCTTCTGATAATACTTCTGTCTTGCTGCTTCGTCGTTTGCCTCCCCTTCAGGTCTAGCATCGGCGGCGTTGTCGGCGTCGGCGGCGAATGCGCGGATTGCTTTTTGTTCCAGAAGCGCGAGTGGAATGCCGATGTCGTCGGTGTCGCCGGCGTCGACCTGGTCTCCAGTGACGAGCAGGCATCGATCAGGCCAGTCTCGGACTGGGAGTCCCTTCATGGGGAACTCGGCTCCGATGACCTCAATCTCCTGTGGTCCTTGCACAGGTGGCTCCGGTTCCTCGGTAGGTGCTGGCAGCTCCGCTGCTTCGCTGAAGAACTCGTAAATTGCTTCCTGCTCCTCTGACTCTTCTTCTTCCATTGGTTCTGGTGTGTCAGGGGCGTACTGGTCCGGAAGAGGAGGGCCACCCCAGCTGGTGCCTCGTGTCGCCCAGTAGGGATCGAACTCCGCTGTTTCGGCTGAAGGGAGTCCTGGAGCTTCGGGATACGGGGGAATTGCCTGAACTAATTCCGATTGGCCTCCAGAAGTGCCCCAGCCGCTTCCGCCAGTGGTGTTTCCCCAGCCACCAGGGTTGTCTCCGGCGCTCCAGCCAGCTACTTCGCCCCAACCACCTTCTGCGCTCCAGCCACCTTCGGCGGCACCGCTTGCTACTGTTGCTGAGATGGTGCCGTGGTCTTCTGCAGCTGCTTCTTCTGGTGTTAGAATTTCTCCCAAGGGGCCGAGTGCAGGGCCAGGGCTGGCTGGCTCGGTTCCGACTTTTTCTTTTCCTTTAGCGGATAGTTCCGCAGATGCTGACGTTTCGCCGTCTTCTTCCATTGATGCAGGTCCGGTTTCAGCTGGGTTGGAGGTCGAGGCGGTCGGGATGGTGCGCAGTCGCAGGAGGCCGTCCGAGGCGGGTCGTTCGAG